CTTGAGGAAGATGATTGACATTAATTGGTGATTGGGAAGGAGGAGATATTCAGACATGAAAAATGGCCTAAGTAACAATGGAAATAAAGTCATATGCTAAATATCCTAAAGATACCAATCTATCTAGAAGTGTGGGCAGTAAAATGTATTGTAATAGAGTGAGGTGTAAATTTGGAAAAATGAAAAAATAGGTTGTTTGCAGCAAGGGAGTGAGAAAGGATATTGGTTGTGGTGTCAACTGGGAAGAGGAAAACATAGGCTGGGGTTAGGAGTTTCGTTCTGACAGACCAGAAAAAAGAGGAAGGGGGGGACACTTTATACAACCTTGAGGGGACAATGGTATAGTGCAAGAGAAATATAAGTGAACACATTCTATTGACTATAGAGATCTTGAGAAAGGGTAAAGCCAGTTTAAGAGGACACTTCAGCAAACCTGATAGAGTGATTAGGTCATGGACCACAATTGTGGAAATTAAAGAAAGACTTCAAACTGACAGATATTGCAGGGCCATATGAGGAGAAAAGAAAAAGGAATTGATGATAATCATGATACATATTACATCTTGAATATAATAGCTGGTTGTCAAAACATCCAAAGGAAAATGCAAGTCTTTAATACTAATTCCTTTAAAATACTAAATTTAGAATGTTGTAAAAATAAAAATAAAATACTAAATTTAGTCATGTAAAGATCCTATTTATTTACAAAATAAAGATTCTCATTTTTGAAGACAAGGCAGTATAAACTGGTAATGTTTTCAACAGGCTACTGAAACAGGCTGCTAAGAACAAGGCTGCTATATACCAGTAAAGAATGGCAGAAAACTAATTTTTTATTGTTCATTTATATTAACATAGAAAATGTATGTGGCATGAAATCATGGAAAGTTACCTGAAATATGCTAGATTTTATTGTTATTATTTTAAGCTGACTTACTAAAAGTCATTTTGAAATCAAAGTTTTATCTTTCGGAGGTGGGAAGAAAAGCTTTATTTTTAACTGAGTTAATCTTCAAGTATCTTCTAAGGTAAGAGGGAAAGAAAGCTTTAGGAGACTAATTAAACCATGCATTTGCTCTAATTACTTAAGCTGCAGACTGCATGGAAACAAATGCAGCAAAAAGACCTTTGCCGTGTGCGGCAGCGAGGCATTTGAGTGTAGCTTTCTCCAACAGAGGTTTTCAATAGCACAGGAGGAAAAAAGCCGAGATGCAAAGCCATCATCTGCAAGTGGTGGCTGCAGCCACAAATCACAGGGCTGCCCTCATTCCCGCATAGTGCAGAAAACATCGTTCGTTCATCGTCTATGATCTTATTTACATCTAAACGCAGAGAAAGCAATCACAATCACTAGTATCATTGTTGAATATCAAGGAAGGCACATTTCATCAACATAATTGGATGTTAGCTCACAAAAACTATAGAGTTATTACTTAAAGGACAATTAATATATTGGGCAAGAATAACAGTGCTTTTATACTGGTTACTTTTTCCTCTTAGGCTTTATTCTCTTAAATAATGTCCATACCTAATGCAACAGTTTAATTTTTAAGGTAAGCAAATCCCTATATCTATTATCTATTTTTATTTTAGTTAAGTGGAGTTTAGAATACTGATGATCATGTATGGGAGAGGGAAAAAAGAAGAGTTTTTATTACTACTGACTACTCAATTAGTTAAACAACTGCTTTCTTAAAACAGGAGTCACAGGACACTCCTTTCAAAGGCAAACCCCTTTAAAGGCATACTTCTTCATTAAATAGAAACTGGTATAGAACACTGTGGCTGTGTTTATCCATTTACCTGAATTTCCAGGTGTAAAATACCAGCTGAAATGCTTTTCCCTATACCCCCTCAGCTAAACTAGCAAGCAAATAAGAAATATTGCTGCTTTTATTACTTTTAATCAGTTGTTTTAAAAATGTTTGAGATTCTTGAAGGTCCAGAGTCCAAACTTCACAGAAATTAACACTAGATATGGAAAAGAACTTTAGTTTTCTGGGGTAATTTGTCCTAAATATAAAAACAAACAAACAAACAAACAAACAAAAAGGATTAAGAGGATTCTATAACCAAAGAGTAGAACATTAACACTGGTGAGTTCAGCCCAGATACAAAGTCTGGACTATTTGCCTAAACCACGTAGATGTCTGTATGAGCCCTCCACTTCATCTTGCCCAAGGAAACCTGACCTGAACAACTATTCTATATCATTAAGTTATCTAGGAAGATGAAAGTTTAAATATATGTCAGACAAGCTGTAGCATCTGGTGCAATTCAGTAATGATGGTCTCTTCCAGACAGCTTCAGTGTTGGACAAATTTTAGAACTGAGATTTAATTAACCTATGTAAAGAAAGTAAGGTTATTCTACCCATACATTCTCCCTGTTTACAAGCACAAATATTTGCCCAATTCTTTTCTATTATAGGAGATATACAAAGTAAAATCCCTCTATGAGACATCTCACTGCATCTCTAATTCCATTTTGTTGCAGTAGAACAATAAACTTTGAGTATAAATTACCAGAATTGTTAATCTTTCACTCAAAATGTTTAAAATTATTTTCACACTTCTTTTTAAAATACATTATTTAGTCCCAGAGGTTGACCCTAAAGTAGAGAACGTCTTACAAAGTATTGTTTAAGAGTACTACATAAAATTAACAAGTTTAGATGCACTTTTATAGTTTTCTGATATGAGAACAAAGTTTTCTCTTTACAATAGCGCATAAACTTAAATATATGGTAGTTTAAAAGAAGGCTGGAAGTGATCATAGCAATATTTGTGTTTGTCAATAGCTCCCTTCTAAACTGCACTACAAACCTCACTTTGCCAAATTTACACATCTTTCAAAATAGAAGAGAATCAAGTTTAAATGTGTTTATTTAAATCAACAGACTGGGAAAAACTTGCAACAAATATAACAAAGTTCTAATATCATTATTATGTAAAAAATCACACATAACCAGATATAACACTATAACACTAAGAATTCAATAGATGAGGTAAAGAACATGAAACACAAGATAATCTACTTTCAGTAAATTATATATATATTTTTTAACTCACTAGGAAACAAAAATGCAAATGAAAAGAACAGTGGAATGCCATTTGATACACACTTACAGTGAATTTAAAAAAAATAGGAATATTCAATCTGGCCATCAGTGTGGTGATAGGGAAATGTGATACAATATTTTTAAAATAATTCATCAAATAGTCATACCCTTTAAGTAAGTGATTCCATTCCTTGGTTTCCATTACAAAGGAATAATTCTAAGTATTAAAACAAGCTGTAGGTACACAATGTTTATTGCGGCATTACTTATAATATTGAAAAAATAAAAACAACCTGAATAACCTCAAAGCAGAAGGATTATTATGTGCAGTAATACACAGCTGCCAGGAATATTTACTGTTTTAAATGATGTTTAGGTTCATCAGTAACACTATAGGGACATGTTATATAAGTGAAAAGAACAAGATGAAACATCATATATATACATTGTAAGCCTACCACTCTATATGAAAAATTCTATAAAGACATGAGGATTTAAAAACCCATTGTTTTCAGTGTTTTCCAATTTCTACATAGCATGCAGTTTAATGTTTTTCAGTAAAATTTAAAACGTCATGTTTTTACTCAAAGTACTTGCAAATGCATTGCCTTGTTTTAAAAACATATCTATCAAAAGCAAAACCCTGTGTTTGGAAAGACTTGTGAAATATTATATTTAGTATTAAAATCTTTAATTATTTTATCCATTATCATTTTAATTATGAGTGTAGGGAGTCTTCTACCTATGTGACTGACTAGGCAGCTGAAACATGTAGGCAGCAGGTCCAGTCAGGGCTTTCTCTGCATCCACATTCATTCTGTCTCTAGCTTCTTTTAGAAATCATGGCTGCTTCTAATATATGTGAATATACTGTCCTTACACACCTGTGGCACCAGAGAAAAATGTTACGATTGTTTCTGATATTTCAGGACGACCAAAACCAATTTCTTTTTTTTACTGAATGGGAGTATCAGAAAGGAACCATTCATTGAAATATGTTTATTGTGATTCTCTTTCCAATAGAGAAGAAATTTTTAAGAGGGCAGAGATAGGGTTTATTTTATGATGCATACATTGCCTAGTTTACTTTTATATTTTATAAATAATATTCTTTGCAGCATCTACTCTAGGGCAAAAACGAACCAACATTTTATACTTTTAGAAAGGAATACCATGACTCATACCCCACCCCATTCCCTGAGCCCAAGTGGGTCTTTGCAATAGTGGTCACTCCTTTGACATTTTAATGTAATATCGACACATTTCTAAAAATCCTAGTGAAAGACAAATGGAGAGGAGAAGAGAGGGGAGGAGAGAATGGGAGACTGAGAAACACTTCAGGAGGTTGCACTTACACTCTAGCAGTTTTTTCTAGAAATGTGGGATGCAGTAGTTCTTATTTTTGTAGTGTCAAGTTGTAGACTGAAATTCGGCAAAAATCTTTTCTTGTCGCGAGGGATGCGAAATATATTCTATGATATGTATTTGGTATGATCCTTTGTTCTAGGTAGGAGCTTTTCTTCTAACGGTTTTCAGCTTCGCTCAAGGGAAGAAGAACTTATTATTGTGAAATTCTCTTAAAGGCACTTTTCAAAGCATCTCTCACAGGAAACTATCACGGCAGCTCAACACTGGCGTTTTTCAGTAAGACTCAAGTCTGATTTTTTTCCCAACATGGCTGTATACTTTGCAGGCCCCCAAATTTGTGCTTTCAGTCACCATTAGTCAAATAGCCAGAAACACCATCTTTAGCCAACTTGCATTTTCTGGGCTAGAAATGTGCTTTGATTAAAGATTATATTCATTTTCTAAGGCATCACTGTTATGCCTATGCCTTAGAGCCGCGGGCTTTTGTCATGGCTGGAGCAGGCTCAGGAGTGCCCGCAGCGCGGTGGGCAGCAGGTCTGAAAGCCCTGGTCATTAACACGTTTCCAGGGGGATGCCCACACTTTCTTCCAAGACGCATGGGGCGCTTACCGTGAGTGGCCAGACTGTGACAGAAATAGAGAATTCATATGAAGGACAGGGAGAAAAATAGGGCATTCGGTTCTGTTCCCAGGTCGCCGAGACTCATGTATTTACACGAGTTTGTTACTACCATTACTAGCTAATTGGAAAGGGTTGTTTACAGCCTGAATGCGTGACAACCAGATGACCCGAGGCCCACTCCCTCCCTTAAACTCCCCTCCTACCCGCCACCAAAGTAATTAATTCAGGGCTGCCATCCTGCCAGACACTCCCATTGGCTCCCACCCTATCCAATGAGAACCTTGCAACAGTTTCACCTGGCTCCCATTTCCCAAATAAACAAACAAATCGTCTGGCTTCTGTGCCAGCTCTTCTCCTCTGCGCCGCCCGATGGGGTTGCGCTCTGCTCCCTCCTACAGCCTCTACCACCCTGCAGCCTATAGAGCTTGGGCGGTGGCGCTGCCACCCTGACTGGATCACCGGCCACTTTCTCTCTCGCCCCTCCCGGCCTTCTCCCGCCCTTCTGTGGCAGGAGTCCTCATTAGGGCCAGCTTGCCCAGAGGCCCCGCCAACTCCCGTAGGTCCCCTGGCCAGGAGATTCACACAGACTGTCTAGGCTGGGTTGGGTGTACCTCCTGTGTACACTTCCGTTGGCTGCAGCTCGCACCCTACCACTACGCTGGTAGCTGGAGCCCAAGCGACCAGCGTGTGAGGCTGCGGTCACGTGTTGTTCTGCCCAGAGCTGAGTGCTGGGAGTGGAGTGGGCGGGGGGCACAGGCGAGTGCTGAGGCCGGAGGGGGCTGGGGCAGGCCGACCAGGGTAGACGCCCTCTCCTCCCCAAGCCCTCCCTCCCCAGAGCCCCCTCCCCTCACACACCTTAAAACCATAGTGCATCACCATGGCTAGTTGCTTCTTGTTCGAGACCCTGCGAGGAAGAGACTGAGAACTACACCAGAGGCTACGGCGGCAGCTCTAGCTGCGGTGGAGAGCACCCCTCTTCTTTCCTTTGGAACCCCAACCGCACTCATTGGGACCGGGTCGTCTTGTCCGGGAGCCATGTGGCTCTCCACTGCCACTGGCTCGCGGTCACACTCCGAGTCCGATGAGGAGGACCTTCCCGTCGGCGAGGAAGTCTGCAAACACGGATACCTTCGGAAGCAGAAGCATGGGCACAGGCGCTACTTCGTACTCAAACTGGAGACCGCAGATGCCCCAGCTCGGCTGGAATACTATGAAAATGCCAGGAAGTTCCGGCACAGTGTTCGCGCTGCAGCGGCTGCAGCAGCGGCTGCCGCCTCAGGAGCCGCGGTCCCCGCGCACATTCCACCTCGGCGGGTGATCACCCTCTACCAGTGCTTCTCTGTGAGCCAGCGAGCCGACTCAAGGTACCAACACCTCATCGCTCTTTTCACCCAGGACGAGTACTTCGCTATGGTAGCAGAGAATGAGTCGGAGCAAGAGAGCTGGTACTTGCTGCTCAGCCGCCTCATCCTCCAGAGCAAACGCCACCACTATGGCACGCCAGGCGCTCAGCCAAGTGGAGAGCCGGCGGTGCTGGTGGCCACAGCGGTAGTGGAGCCACCCTTCTACAAAGATGTGTGGCAAGTAATAGTCAAACCCAGGGGCCTGGGGCATAGAAAAGAGCTGAGCGGCGTGTTCCGACTCTGTCTTACTGATGAGGAGGTTGTGTTTGTGAGGCTGAATACCGAAGTGGCAAGCGTGGTTGTCCAGCTCCTGAGCATCCGTCGCTGTGGGCACTCCGAACAGTATTTCTTCTTAGAAGTAGGCAGGTCCACAGTCATCGGTCCAGGGGAACTCTGGATGCAGGTTGATGACTGTGTAGTGGCTCAAAACATGCATGAGCTCTTTTTGGAGAAGATGAGAGCCTTGTGTGCAGACGAATACAGAGCCCGCTGCCGCAGCTACAGCGTCGGCATCGGGGCCCACCTGTTAACCCTGCTGTCCACTAGGAGGCACCTGGACATGATGCCGCTCGAGCCTGGTGGCTGGCTCAGAAGGTCCCGCTTCGATCACTTTTGCCATCTCAGGGCCATCGGTGACAGGGAAGATGAGATGCTCCTCACCAGGTGCTATATAACACCCCGCGAGCCTCTGCCCCACTCCAGGGGAAGAAAACTGCACCCGCCCAAACCGCGCAGGTCAAGAAGACCAATTTCAGCGCCAGCCAGCTGTTTTCGGCGCCTATCAACCAGTCCGGTGCTTTCCCCGCATCCTGCAGAAGCCCCCAGCGACAGAGCTTGCCTGTTTTTTAAAACATCTGATTCTGATTCTGGCAGCTCTATGGGAAAAGGCAATCCTCAAGACCAAGAGGGTCAGGAAGGAAACACAGGCAACTACGTGCCCATGAGCATCTGGGGCTCAAGAGGTGGCCAGGGCTCAAGTGGCCAAAGCTCAGGAGGAAACCAGTGCTTAGGCAGGGGGCAGGACTCAAGTGGTGGCCAGATTTCAACTAGCACATGCTCAGGGAGCCAGGGTGCAGGAGGAAACCAGTGCTCAGGAGATGGCCAGGGCCCCACAAGTGGGCATAGTTCAGGCAGTGGCCAGGGAACCAGTGGTGGGCATGGCTCAGGTGGTGGCATGAAGTCTGGAGGGAGCAAAAGCTCAGGAAGTGGGAATGGCTCCGATGGCAATGGTGAACATAAAAAATCTCTGAAGAAACTATCTTATTTTGGCAAAATTATTCAAAGCAAGCAACAGCAAATGCCACCACCTCCACCCCCATCTCCATCCCAACCGGCTGGACCAACTGGTGGAAAAGGGAAATCTGGGGGAAGATTCCGACTTTACTTTTGTGCTGACAGAGCAGCCTCGAAAGAACACAAAGTAGCCAAAGAAGTCAAATATGCAGAGACCCCAGGAGATGCAGCTCGCAGTCTCCAGAGAGCCAGAGCTTCTGCTGAAGATGAGGAAAACCCATATGTGCCAATGAGGCCAGGGGTGGCTGCCCCTGTTGAAAACTTTAGTTATTATATGCCAATGGCTCCTCAAAAGATTTATACTTCAAGAAAGTTCCAGTCTCAACCCTCTTTTGAAGATTCAAGAGGGTACATGATGATGTTTCCCAGAGTGAGCCCACCACTTGCCTCAAGTCCTCCAAAAATACCTGATCCTGATAAAGAGGATGACTCTAAAGACAACGAGAGTGACAGTGATTACATGTTTATGGCTCCTGGAGCCGGTGCAATTCCAAAAAACCCTAGAAATCCTGAGGGAGGCTTTTCCTCCAAAAGTTGCAGCTCCTGCTTCTCTCTGCCAAATCCTTTTCGTAGCTCCCTGTTGGAACAGAGTGACCACAGTGAGTATGTGCCGGTGTTATCTGGAAAACTTCTGGGGAAGGGCCTAGATAAAGAAGCATCATCTATCGGGGGCCCCAGATATGCAACTTCAAAGCCTTCCACTGAAGGCTTTGAAGCTGCCCTTCAGTCATTCTCAAAACCTGGAGATGGGGGGGTCACCTTCAAAGTCTTTAGATGATGGGTCCCCCAAGGACAAGGCTAAGAGACCAAACCAACTTTCTTTTATTACAAAAGGAAATAAAATCAAGCCAAAACCACAAAAGCCCACATGTGAGCAGAGAGAGGCTGACAAATTTAGTGACTGTGTCAACATTGACTTCACTAAAAGAAGTAGCAATATGCCGGCCCCTTTTACTCAAGGACTGCCACATTCGTGGGGCATAATTGCTAACTTCAGACAGTCAGCCTTTTCTCATTACACAAATCTTGAGTTCAGAGTGCCATTGCAAAATCCAGCAAACATCGCGTCAAATATTTTAAGAGCTATTCCAGGTGCCAACCGCTTCTCTCTGGACGGTGCTAGGTGGCCACTTCTGCCTCTTTTTACCAGTGCTACAGGTAGCAGTGCTAATGAGGAAGGGTGTGAGTACATTGAAGTTATGTTCAACCCAGCAATGACACCAGCCTTGCCTTTTGCTGAGCATGCCATTCGCTATGATGCCGAAACAGGTCGAATCTATGTGGTTGACCCATTTTCTGAGTGCTGTATGGACATTTCCCTCTCCCCTAGCCACTGCTCTGAACTACCACCTGTAGCTAGGCTACTGCAGGAAGAAGAGCTAGCGAGAAGGCACCCACAAAACCATTCGCAAACTTTCTTTGCTTCTGCCAGAGCCCCTGTCTCGGCTTTCCCAACCAAGCTCCTGGAGAGAGACCTGTATACCTCCTTAGCCTCAGCCGCCGCTATGGTCCTTACTCCAACCTTAGCTGTGGGCTGTGCTTTAGCCCCTGCCTCCGCCCTCGCTTTAGCTCCGGGCTTAGGCGCAGCCGTGGAGGGCTTCCAGGCTGACGCTGGATTTAACTTTGCTTATGTCCGCTGGTTCCAACCTGTTGCTAATACTGCTGGTGCTGAAGCAGTAAGGGGTGCCCAGGTTGTTGCCGGTAGCTCGAGCCCTAGAGCCCCAAACCCAGCTGCAGATCTTGCTGGAGGTGAGAAGGAGGCTGGTGGGGCTACCGCTGCAGCTGCAGCTGCAGCTCGCACCCCACCACCCCACTGCCGAGTGCCGAGAGCCCCCGAGAGAGAAAATTCTGACGACAACAACATTTACATGAGAAATGACTTTGCCAGACCCCAGGACAAGTAGTTCGACTCTCCGTAAAGAGGTTGGTAATTTTAGAATTAATTTCCCTAAAGTTGATGGTTATTGCTTAATGAATTGATACGCTACTATGTTTACGGTGTTAAGGAAAAGTGATTTAATATTTCATTAGCTGATGCCTATTTAGCATGGAAGATAGAATTCAGTTTTAATTATGCATGTAATACTCTCTGATGTTTGCAGAAAAACTTAAGTGTTCATCTAATTATTGTTTCTTTATTTGGAAAGTACTGATTATCACTTGTGATGCTTTCACATATCCTTCCCCTATACTTAACAATTTATGCAAACAGGACGCCTTGAATTGAATCTCATGACTCATTTTCAAATCAACAAGTAAAAAGTGTTTTTCTACCAATACCAGTAGTTAATTGCAGGAGTTAATAAGAACACAGAATATCGAGGAGTAATAATCAATTTTTAGCATTTAGGAGAGAATGACTTTCTTCCCTGAAAGTTTCTTTTTAAAAAGCAGCCATCCTTATGCTAGTTTACTATGATTCACTGAGAAGATTAAATCTCAGTTGTTACCATGAATGTTTGGGGAGAACAAAGCAGAAATAATTCAAAACAACAAGTGATTAAAAAAAGAGCATATTTGGCTCCAGAATGTGTTTTTGTGTTGATTTGTTTTGGTTTTACACACAGGACAAATTGCCTCTCTCTATTAGTGACAGGCAAGTCACCTTCTCTGTGCTTTTTTTTCTTCATGTAACTCTCCCCAAAGGATACGGTGAAAGTTTATAATGGGTATGAATATTATTTCGAAGGTTTAAAAAGCATTTAAAACATCTAATTGCTGTGTCTTTTGGGAAACCCAGGAAAGCAAGATAATAAGGCTGTAGGAAGACCTGACCTTAAGGGCAGCCTACCTGGCAACAGTGAAGTTTTTTAAAGGGTTACTTTTCCAAAGGAAGAAATAAGGAAGACTAGGAACTGTCAGAGTTGAAAATAAGACTTTCAGTAAATCTGTGTACATTGTGCAAAGTTGTTATCAGTGTGTCTGGAGACATTCTCAAGTAATGATTTCAGAAGGTGGTGTCTCCATAGTCTCAAGTGCCTTCCCTCTTTAGTAGAATGTACTTTCCCAATGAAGGAAAGGGGCAAACTGCAGCAGTTTCATTCCAGTAGTCAGTTTAGTGAATATTTTTGCTTTGCTTGCTTTCTGGAATGCCTTTGTGATTGGATCTTTGCCCACTGTGCTTGATCAGGCAGAACAAGACAGGGACTGATCACAACAGTCACCTAACAAGCTTCCTATTTAGTGCAAGTGTAACATCCCCACCCCTTCTGCCCCTGTTTTAGAGAACTTGCCATACAAATACTCACATTTGCAGCACAGATGCATTAAACAGTGATCATTAAAAGAACAAAAGGATACTTTGATTTGCCAGAGGATTCCATTCAGATGTCCTTTAAATTTGAGCCCCTCTCCATGCACATGCACAAATATGATCATCCCTATTACATAAACCATGCATTTGAAATATAAATTCTATTTTCAATAATTTAATTCATAATCAGCTTTTCAGGAACAGATCTATTTTATTCTCTAAAGTATATCTGAAAATTGGTCTTAAGATATTGTTTGAGACAAATTGCTGAAGACACCCTGTATGATGCTTGATGTAGGTATTCCATAGCTACCTGTGTCCCTGTGGTATCTTGGAAAGAACATATTTTCATAGAGGTTTGTCTATATTTTCCAATAGTTTTTGTTTCAGTAAAGATTAAAATTATTTACATCTTCTTAAGTAAATCCTGACTTCCCAAGGACTATACAGATTCAATTATCATTATTTTAGCATAAGTTATTGATTTATAAATAACTTCACTTGACTTTGTAGCTATTTTAAAGATGTAATGTTCTCTAAATGTATTGTTCATTGAGGAAATTTCTAACTTTTATTGAATGACTACAGCAAAGAGGCTGTGTTTCACAAAGAAGTCGGGGCTTAGGTTGAAATAAGGGAATGTATGTAGAAGCACTTTGCAACTTTAAAGAACTTTACAAATATATTTTATTTTGTTGTTGGATTAATATTAAAGCAAAGTTTCAACAGTTTCATTTAGTTTCCTACAAAAATGGTTGGTCCTGAGGATAATTCAGGGACATAATTTACTGAGCTATTTAAAAGGAAGGATATAATAGAAAGAACTCACTGCAGGAATTGACTTCCTACCATTTTAACGTAAATTAATATTATCTGTGTAGAATGTAGATTATCTGTGTAGAATTAATATTATCTGTTTAATGTAGAATATTATCTGTGAATTAGTAACAAGCTGGTTAGTTCTGATGTGTTTTAAATATAAAGCTGTAGAATAATTTTCATCCATTTTTGCTTTCTCTTCACCTTCCTATCAAGCCTTAAAAATTATAGTTCATGTTAGAAAGCAAACAAAAAAATGCCCTGTCTGGTATGGCTCAGTGGACTGACAACTGGCCTGAAAACCAAAAAGGTCTCCAGTTCAATTCCCAGTCAGGGCACATGCCTGGATTGTGAGCCAGTCCCCAGTTAGGGGCGATTGATATTTCTCTCCCTCTCTCCCCCCCTTTCCCTCTCTCTAAAAAAATTAATATATTTTTAAAAGCTTTAATGAAGGAATAAAGGCACAGTCTTTATTAGCAGTTATGTATTTCAAAGGGTGATTTTAATTTATGGCTAGTGCTTAAAACAGTACCTGGCACATAGTAAGTATTGTACATAAATTATTATATAACTATTATCATTGCTGTTATTGTTACTTTAGAAACACAAAGCTAAATTCAAGTTCTTTGCTCTCAAAATCCACTTCTCAGTTAGTCTTTACTTTCATTTAATGTGCTTTGTATGGTTATTCAGAGTTGGGATCTTTATAGTTGGGATCTGTTTCGAACATATGTTAAATGTGGTGAGACTATAAGGCAGTCTAGAGACTATAACTTTGTTCATGTAGCACAAAAATTAATATATAATATTATTTACCTGCAGTCACATTGCTTATAAATAGGTACTTTGTTCAAGACAATCAGAAAAAAATCACCCAGAAATATAATCTTCACTTGACCATTTTATAAATAAACTAATTTAAAAAGTGTGAAGTGTTCACATTTTATACACATGGGTTATAAACATTAGCATGTAGGAGGAGAATGTAGTTCCTTATATGGTTTAGTCTAACTCTTGGCCACATATGAATTTTTGCCCTTTTTATTGCTATATCTAGTGTAGAATTTGAAATGACTTAAAGTGAAAAATTCACTGAGTTTTCAATTACAGAGATAGGTGGATAAGGACAGCTGTGGGAGAAATGAGAGAATTGGTCAGCCAAATTTGCAATGTTATGATAATGCTTGGTATTCAAAAACAAGGAAAATTGTAATAACTGCCTTTTGAAATTTTAGACACTTATTAACATGAAGGAAGTGTAAGCTTCTTTTCAGTGTACTACTGCCAAATTCTCATAATAAATTATAGGTGATGAGAGCCAATCGTGTTGCATTGGACTTACTATAAATTAGTTTCCATATATCAGAGATTTCTCAGTCACCATTATGAGTCACTTATTTTTGACAACATTCACCCCCCCAAAAAAATTGACAGTCGTTTTTCATAGGGTTATTTAACCTACAATGATTAAAGAGGAATTCGTTCAATTAAAGTTAACTAAAATTGTTGGCAAACATTATTCATTTGTGTCCATTCTAACAGTGACACTTTGCAGGGTAGAAATGTGGGTTACCAGTGAAACATCTTTAAGCGATGACTAGGACTTTAATTGAGCAGAGCAGAATATCAAACATGCATAAAAACTCAAACAAGGTCTTTTGTTTTCTTTTCCCTTCTTTAATTGCCAAACATGAACTAAAATACTTGAGTCATTGATAATGATCTATTGTGGGAATAAACTTGGGCTTCCTAGAGTGACCCCAAATTTTTTTGTGTTGGAATAGATGAAGGTAACCAGTATAGGGAGAAATATGGAATATTGTGTGTGATTTAAAAGGGATTGTTAAATTGTCAGCTTGTTGATTGAGGGAATGCTTTACAGTTGCATACTACCTTATAATTTGGAAAGTGTATTCACATTCATTAGTTTACTTAGGGACAATAGGTACTGGAACTGAAGCTGGTATTAAGAATTTCAAACAGGTTAGTGACAGCTGAAAATCAAACCCATACATCTGATTTTAAGCCCTTTACTCCATACAGTTATACTGCCCTCCAATCATATGTTCAATCTGTTCTTTTCCTATTGATGAAAGATAATTATATAGTCAAGGATGGGGGAAAATTACAAGTTTTTGTGAATTTGGTAGTCACAATTTTTTGGTAAGTAATTCATTCAGGGTGTTATAACTGTGAACTATCTGCCAGAGCTAGGGTAACTTTCATTACATTGAACTGTTGTCCATGGCACTTAGAATAAAATAATTTTCTGAAACAGAAATAGTGTGTGTATCTATTCAGATCCCATGGAAACACTGAATGGAAGAAAAGTATAATGAGGATGCATTAAGGAAATGTCCATTAATAGTCATGTCCTTAACTGAAGGTGGGCATCTTTGGTTTCTCTAATAATTGACATCGCCAATTATAACAGAATTATTTTATTTTTAAATCTTTATGTTTTATAATTGTTCCAATTATTTCCCCCAACAAAATTCTTTTAATTTTATTTTTCCATATGTATAAAATTTGATATTATAATCTAAACAATCACAGTGGGCAAAAACAGGATAAAGTGAGCAGGTGGAGAAAAAAGTGCTGTAGAAGTAGATGTTATTTATTTGTTTAAAAAGTAAATTTCCTTTTGGCAGTCAGGCTAGTAGATTTTAGAAGCCTTGAAAATCAAATCCTCTCCTTGGGACATAAAAATCCTTGTTTAAAATTAAATCATTTTGTTTATCATCTTTTTGGTGCTTTAAGTATATAAAAATAGCTCAGACATTTTATTGACAATATTGGAAAATAACTTTTGTAAAATGCTGAATTAAAGCTCCCAGTGTATTTTGT